TGAGGCTTTGTCTCCACTAGGTTGGCTTTAGATATCATTTCTTTGGTTTGAACTGCACGTATTGCCTTGCAGTTGGTGTCTTCGATAATGATGTGAGTGATCAAATTGGTCAAGGATAGCTGCTTTTGTTTGTGTTTCAGCTGCTGTTTGTAGTCAGACCATGATTCTGGCAGCTTCTCAATCAATATCCCAACAACGAACTCATCTGGAAGGTTGATGTTTTCAACACGAAGCTCCTCCAACAAATTATGATATTCATTGATTTGCTCCTTGACATCTTTATTCTCGGTCATCTCCCATTTGTAGTAGTTGCCCATAACGAACTTTTGTTTGCCGGCATCCTCAGCAGTGTACTTTATCACCAGGGACTCCTATATCTTACAAGCTTCCTTGTAGACACAGTAGACATCGAACAAATCATTAGATAAAGTGCTAATGATAGTGTGTCGGCATACCTTATTTGCATGAGTCCATGCAACTTGCTGGGCTTGATCAGTATCAACAGGAGGCTCGGATTGAGCAAGAGCAGTAGCCGCACCATGCATGTCAAGGACGGTGAAGACACATTCTTGCTAGCGTTTGAAGTTCCGGCCATCAAAGACTTCTATCTTTGATATATCCGGGAACGGCCTTGGAGGGGGACGGCAACAGTGGTAGGGATGTACTGACCTCCAGCCGATCCACTTGGCACACCTTTGAGAGTGACATTTCAGCACTGTTGGTCGCCATTGGGCTGAGCAGTGAAGGTACGGGTTGCTTGAGTTGTGCCCGAAAGGACACTGTCCTTAAGAACTATTCCGGCACACCATCAGACGACCGGCAGTTCCCAAGATTAAACAAGCAGTTCCTCAGTGGAACGAGGGAACAGAACAACCGAGACCAAATGCACAAACAAAACAGATGGAGGAGAGAACACTGAGCAGTCAAGAGACTCTGCACCGCTATGTCCGCACGTATGGCTATATATAGCCCGAAGGTGGACATAAACGTTGGAGGGTTACCACTGGATTAAAGGCTCGGTTACACTGTCATAAAATTGTTTAAAAGCTTGTCTGAAAATGGAGAGGTAACACAAACGTAAACTGTATTTAACCTCCTATCTGGAAACGTTGGGAAGGTAAAACATTCAGAAAATTAATTTAGTTAATGATCAAAAAACGTTTTTGGTTTGGTTTCAAACTTCAGACAGCCAAAATTTGAGTTTTTCCGGCAAGGTAAAAAATAATTATTTATTTTGTAAAAATAATCCAATAAAAGGAACCCATTATCTCTTGAACTCGTGCGCAGGGGGCCGAATTAGCTGATTTCAACTGCGATTGCCCTGAGTTGGCCTGTCTCATGTGCGCGAGGCCACTTCTCCTCCAAGCCCATTTTACTAGCCCACTTCATTCCTTAGTATATATACACTAGGAGATTCCTTCCTTTAGTCAATGTGAGACTTTGACACACACACACTTTTGACACACATACAACACCGACTAATTGAAAATGATCTGGGTTCGGTAGAGGTTGGTTCCCTCGTTATGTTATGATCTGTACTTTGAGTTTGTCATGTTTAACTACTTTAATTCTCTAAATTAAATACGTGTAGACTTTTATTAGTTGTGTAAAATGCTCAAGTGAGAAAAGAAAGTTGAATGCTTTCGAGGTAAATTAAAAAAGACTAAAGACTTCATGCTATAACGTTACATCAAAATGATCATAGCATATAATCAGGGTGCAAGTTTTTATATCTTTTATGTTCTCCCACTTGATAACATATAGTTTTTAAGTATCAGGGGTTGGTTTTATGATTTTTTTTTTGCATGTTTGGTGGTTTCATCTCACATTTTATTTTTTATCAAGTAACATTTATACAATAAAGCTTATGGTCTTGAAATGAATATTATTTTTAATCTACTGTTTCAAAGGCTGGCAGAGTAGCTATTGGGATCATAATCTCATTATTTGTTTTCGATGAGGATGATTTTATACACCTATATGAAGAGCATCATTGCAACTTAGCCCCATGTTTGGTTAATAATTTTGAATAAGAAATTAAAGTATATGATGCAATTGTGAACATTGATCTGTCATCCTTTATTAGTCTTTTTTGTAACACATATTGCCTTATAAAAATATATTTATTTCATAGTGATTTATTTGATTTTAAGTCAATTTTAAGTGTGAAGATAAATTATGCTCCCCATGGATGGTAATTTAGTCCAAGCTATATGAGTTGTATCCAAATAAACAAATGGAAAATTATACAAGAGAATATATTGACTGAGTGCTATCAATTAAAGGCAGTAATTCAAGCAAAATTAATGAAGGATGACAGATCAAAAGATAGAGGATGAATATAGAGTTTTAATTGGCTAATTTTATTTTGTTTTCTATTATCCTTTCTTTTTACTAAATGATTAGATGTCTTAGTCTTCAGTTTGATCATCTTGGCTTATAAATTTTAATTTGAATTTGATCTTGATGTAAAAAGAAGAGGATTGTATTTGGTTAATTTCTTCCTTTTGCTACCTCAGTGATTTTGGCCACTTCATGTTTAGCACATAATCTTGACTTTTGTGTTTTTTATTTAGTGAATTACATGTGTTGATGTTGCATAATCTTATGATGTTAATGCTTATGTTGTTAAGTAGCTTAATATATCTTGCGTGTCACGCTCTAAAAATAGAGGGTGACTGACGTATGATATAATTATATCATTACATCCCTAAGTCTTTAAATCAAGAAAATTTTTCACTTTGAAAGACATAATTAGATTTGTGT